GAGAATTCCCGGCATGACAAAACAGGTGACGACAAGGTAACCCAGAAGGGAAAACAATATGGCCAGCAGAATGTTCAGAAGGAAAGGCAAGCTGTCGTCAATGATACCCACATCAGATGAGAACCTATTGAGAATAAGGCCCAGAGGAGTAGTTTCGAAGAAGTGCATTTCACCCTGTTTGTGCAGAGGATATTGGAATCTTAGACAAGTGCTGCAGTCTGACTACTATCAAAAAGATTTGTGATTTATTGTGGAGGACATCAATGTACTAGGATAAAGAAACTTGACGCTCATGCCTGCAGATGTGCTAAGAACGCAAATTATTCGGCAAGAAAATTGCATGTAAACAATCTTTTTGACATCGCTTGCTACAAAATCAAAGCACCAAAGACCAAGTTATGCCAATTTTTATAGCTAAGCTTGCATCTACTATTTCAACAAGGAAACTACTTAAGGATGCTTTGAACGAATGCGCGATTATGGAAATGTACTCCATCAGCCCATCAAGCGTTAAACTACGCTGACCAGGACAAGTTCAAGTACTGTTAGCGTTTGTATTAAGCAAGATTACCATCTATTAGATTTACCCACATAATTCTGGACGAAGTTTCGTCATAATTGCAACCAAAGCAACTTCACTTCCCCTAGCCTTCGCTTGTTTACAGTTAGCACCACTAATGTCAAAGCTGATCATTCTAAATCTCCTATATCATTTGATACGTGTGATAGCGGCAAAGTTCGATCGTCTCATAACTGAAAGAGTGCCTGCTCAAACCTGAAGAACTGCATCCAGCATTTGTTGATGAATAGTAGCTGCAGCTTGAAGACCAGCAAAGGCGAAGAGAACTGCTCGAAACATAGTAAAAATTAGGTTAGCTCCAATTATTCCACCGTAAACGGTAAAATAGAACGCAGTTGAATTTGCAGTTGTTGGCTTTGCAAACAAGTTGAGGTAAGACTGACAGAAAAGGAGGGAGAAATAGCTCCCGTATTTCACTGACGGTGTAGTAACATTCGCCTCGCTCGCCTCCATCCAGTAAGACAGCCAATAATCCTGAGCATTTCGACTAGCTGTAAAATGAAAGCCGCTTCTGCTGAGTTTTCATTTTGGTAGGAAAAGATAGGGAGATTCGACCAATAAAGTTTTGTACCTTGCATTAGGGTGAGAGAAATCAGTACCCATAAGGCAAGGCAGAAGCCCAACGCACGGGCATAGGACCGGTAGACCTGTAATGCAATTGATCCAAAAGCAAACTTCTCCCAATCTGTTGATCCGTCGTCTTCAGCTGAATCAACTACTTGGTTATTGACATCTTCAGGCGAGGAAGACAGCAAAGATGTCCGATCGCTTCTATTCTCAATTGTGTCAACACAACTAGGGAAGGGAATCGAACTGACATGATCATTCGAAATGAGATATGCTGTATCGTTGCTAATAGTCCAATTGGATCCATTTTGCGAAGACCACTGATGCACAATCCGACCTTTAGACAACGTGATAACTCGGTCGGCAGGGCCACCAAGACTTTTGTCAGTCTAGATAGACTAGTCCTTAAGCAAAATTAAAAGTGCAACCACCTCATTGAATAGCCATCCAGATTCGTGCGTCGCAAAGATTCGTGTCTTGTCAGCTAGAATTCCGCGTTTTCCAATGCACTTCTGTATGATACTGTGAGCCACGTGAGTGTCCAAAGAAGCCAAAGGATCATCAAAGAGGTAGACGTCGGCGCGCTGGTAGACGGCCCTGGCTAGAGTCACTCGAGCCTTCTGACCACCAGAAAGTTGACTTCCAGACTCACCAACCTCAGTGTCCAAGCCCTTAGGCATTTCGGCCAGATCTTCTGACAATCCACAAGCATCGATGACGACCGCCAACCAATTTGACTCAAGAGGTTCCCCGAATAAGATATTTGCACGAATGCTACCCTTTTGAAGCCAAGGTGTCGATCCAACATAGGCAAAACGAAGTTGGGCAGGTACGGACTGAGGTACAGGTGTTTGCAATTCACCCATGAGGGCAAGAAGGAAAGACGACTTTCCCGAAGCTATGGGACCGATGACACCAATAAGCTGACCCTGAATTTTCGTTCTAGACACAAAGAAGTTGACACAGCTTACCGTTGATATTGTTACATTTATATCAGTAAGTGCCGGACTTTCAACTGATTCCCAATAAAAGAAAGGGGAATTTAGTACAAGATCAGAACGTCCATGAATCAGAGATCGTTCCCTTAAGTTATCATCGGTATTAAATGCCGGATTAATTGAATATACAGCCACATCATTACTGTCGAAAAGCTGACATATTCTGCCGGCAGAGATCCAGGCTTCCACAACGCCATTGAGGACCCATGGAAGGGCATTCATTGGAACTATGAGGATATTGAAAAGCGCAAGACTGGTGAAAATCTATTGCTTCAGTGTAATAAAAGAAGCCCTACATTCGCTGGTGCGAGAACATTGCCTAGTGCGGCAAAGGTCGCAAATGTTGATCCAGCTAGCAAAGCTGGGCAAGCTGCCCAAAGGAAGACACAAACGGCGTCTAGCAACTTCTGTCCCCTCAATGCATTCAGTTCAGAATGCCGAGCATTTAGAATCTTTCTGCGTATTAGATGCTCCCAGCAAGCCAACTTGACAGTAGTCATGGCATGCAGCATCTCTGACACTAACTAATAGAAATATCAGTTGGGAATTGGTAAAAAACAAACCAAAATGAAGCGATGGCAGAACTTACCTTAACTCGTAAGTCCTTGTGGTGCATTAAC